AAGGACCATTCATTTAGTTTCTCCCACTTGTCATCTGGAACAAAAACTAATGCGTAGTCACTATCTTTGCAACAGACTTCTGGTGTGTCATTATCAACTAAGAATGGACGCTTAAAGTCCTCTCTTGGGAAAGAAGTCATAGGAATGGTGAACTCATCTTTAACTTTAGATTTCATGTCTGAATAAGGATCAAACCCTAAAACATGGGACTCTTGTGTAAGGTTGCCCATAGTCTTCTGTAAGTACTCTTGGGTCCCTAAATTGGCATCTAAGGTCTCAAATAAGCTCCCAAAAATATCAGACACATTTGAATCCTGGTTATCAAACACAAAACACAAAAATTAACATTTTTAAAACATATATATTACAAGCCGAAACTACATCATCCTTACATCAACATTAAAAAACAGCAAAAACAGTCCATGATCTTTACATTATTCGTACAACCACCCAAAACGAAAACATCATCCTTACCTTAATAGTACAAACAACAAGTACAATACATGAGATCAATAGAGGTTTATCACTTTGTTACCTTTGACTTCGACCTTTTCTTGGCAGCATTTGCAAGACCACCAGTTTCAGGATGACCTCCAGTGCGTGAAGAAACAGGAGCTCTGCTGCGAGAAGGAGTAGGAGTCGAAGCCGGAGCTGGAGCAGGAGTCGAAGCCGGAGCTGGACCAGGAGTAGTGAAAGTGGCAGCCGGATCATCAGTTGCAGTGTGAGTTGAAGCCGTAGCACCAACAGGAGCAGTAGGAGTAGGACCATGTGAAAGACCTGGATTCTAAGATGCGAGGAGCTTCTCCTCAAATTTGGTAAACCGGTCATTAATTGTATCATGTACATCAAGCGCTAAGGAAGTGAAGGACGACTTAAACATGCCATGAATGTAAGACTTCATTTCCTCTTCAAGCTCTCTATATTTCTCGACTGATCTTTGGGAGAGTAAACTCTTCTTCCTTGACTGAACACCAGTATCTTGAAACAATTTTTTTCCTCTTTCTTTCAACAGGCGCAGCTGCAGATTCTGTTTCTTCTTCCATTTCATTCTCACTTGTTTCTACATCCTCTTCTGCTTCTGTATTTTCTTCACCAGAACTAGGTACGTATGAGTGTCGAGGTTCATGATAAGCCCATACATGCTTACTCCAATCATAGTTGTTCGGGTTCATGTCAATGATGAGATCGACTCTTTCATCATTCATCTCACCCGCTTGTGCAAACTCAGCTTGAACAATAACATCCGAGAACGTTCCGTTGGAAGCGATGGATGGAAACAAAACTCCCTACACAATATAAACAAAGAAACAAAGTGAAAACACATACATTAAGATAAAATAATTAAATCACATAAAATTGAATCAAAACTTACAGTGGAGGTAAAATCGGACTCAAGGCTACTAATATCTTCAAAGGAAATCCTACAAGATTCTTTCCAGTTTCTGCATATCATGCTCATGACTCCTTGTTCAAGTTTCTGACCCAAAAGAGTACCAATGTCTGGAATTGCCTCCATCGCCCAAATCTGAAGTGCATAGGAGAATCCATCTATAACATAACTCTTCTTCGTCTTCACTTTGTTCCTAGCATCGATAATGGAACTCACCAGCATGTTGAAGGAATGAAGTCCCCACGGGTACTTCCTCATCTTCTCGAAATCCA